AGATGAAACCTTCGGATTGAAAGGTGGCTCCTGATGAATTATTTCCAACAGAAAGAGTCTGGGACTTCCTTGAGTGGTCTTTGCTCAGGAACTGGATGAAGGATTGGCTTCGGTACGTCCATTGGTACTGGAGTGTCGCGAATTCACCGGATGTTTCCTTAAGTGACTTCTTTTCTGCATCAGTCTATGAGAAAGAATGGAGGATCAGACGCGAATCGAGTGAGCTCATTCGCTTTGGTCTTCTCTGGAAGATCTATGATTTGGTAGCAGAGAAGGGTGTAAGCTTGGAGCCCGCCATGTCTTCAAGAACACCTCTCTGGATTTCGGGGATGGTTACTTGCTTGACCTAAACCTTCGACCTGCAACTGCTCGTGCTCTTGGAAAGCTAACAACTGATTGACTGGACTTGGATGCCTAGCTAACAGAACTCCTTAATTGCTTGACCCGCCCCTATCTCTAAAGGGGCTTAGGCTCTCCCTTGGCTTACTCTACCCGGACCTTGTTGAGCTCCCGGAAAGGGAAACAAGAGCAGCGGAAGGAAAGGAACTAGCGTATTAGTATACCGGAGAAGCCTTTTGGCAGAGAAAGAAACCATCCAGGAAAAAAAAAAAAGCCACACAAAAAATATAGATAGCCAAAAGAAGGGGGAAATGATCCCATAAAATCGATACCCCAACGGTCAAAAATTTTATTCACCAGAATGGGGTTTGAGGGCTTCATGTTTCTTTTAGAAATGATTCCCAACCTTTGGTATATATCACACTTTAGGCAGAAGGCGTGGACATCTTTGAAAAGTGTGGGCCAATAAAATTCACACTACAAGATTTTCATAGTGGTTTTCATATATGAGAAATGGCCACCACATGCTTCAGAATGACAATATGATATTTAATTGTTTGCTCTCATGAGCGGGGATGCAATGCTTATGATTTGATCCTTATAGTATTTAAATACGTATGGATCCTCCCAAAAGAAATTATGAACCTCCCTTAGAAATTTCTTTTTATCCATCATTGTAAAGGATAGAGGAAGCGTACCAATAGCAAGGAAGTTAGCAATATCAGCGTACCATGGTGTCTCCTCAATTGTGAACAGTTTTTCATCAGGAAAATTCTCATTGATTGGTAACCTATCCTCCTGAAATTCATATGTTAACCTAAATAAATGGTCTGCCACCACATTCTCAACACCTTTCTTGTCCTTAATGATCAAATCAAACTCTTGTAATAAGAGTATCCATCTTAAGAGTCGTGGCTTGGCATCCTTCTTTGTGAGCAAAAATTTCAGTGCAGCATGGTCAATGAATACAATAACACATGAACCAACAAGGTAAGAACAAAAAATTTTCAGAGCAAAAACTACAGCAAGCAAATCTTTTTCAGTTGTAGAGTAATTCATTTGTGCATCATTCAAAGTCTTGCTTGTATAGTTAATCACATAGGGTTTCTTATCCTTTCTTTGCCCCAACATAGCATCTACAGCATAATCACTTGCATCACACATTAGTTCAAAGGGTAGAGTCTAGTCAGGGGGTTGCATTATTAGGGCAGAAATTAGCATACCCTTAAGCTTGTCAAAAGCTTTCTGGCATGCTTTACTCCACACAAAAATTATGTCCTAACTCAGGAGAGGACACATAGGTTTAGATATGGTACTAAAGTCTTTTATGAATCTCCTATAGAACCCTGCAAGTCCTAGAAATGATCGAATATCCTTGATAGTCTTGTGAGCAGGCAAATTTTCAATCAGATCTATTTTTATCTTGTCAACTTTCATGCTTCAGACGACACAATATGACCCAAGGCAATGCCTTGTGTTACCATGAAATAGCATTTCTCCTAATTGAACACTAGATTGGCTTCCTTACATCTTATCAACACCTTCTCTAGGTTTGTCAAACACAAATCAAACGAGTCACCATATATAGAGAAGTCATCCATGAACACTTCCAAAACTTTCTCAACTATGTCACTAAACAAGCTTAGCATGCACCTTTGGAATGCTGAAGGAGCATTACAAAGTCTAAACAGCATCCTTTTGAATGCAAAGGTGCTAAAGAGCATGTGAAT